CACAGCTCTTGCTGTTGCACGCACCCCGGTAGGGTTGCAGGCTGGGGGCTGTGCTGGGTTCTTCCCAGGGAGTGTGCCTCCAGATCTGCACATCCTTTCCCAGCATCTTATGAAGAGAGCTTCAGCTCTCAAAAGATTGTGGTATTTATACATCAATATCCATGAAGTGCATATTTCACACACACTTACTTTGTCTAGACTATAAAGGTGGCAAATCTATCCTGCTTTCTACTTAAGAAATTTTACCCCATAGTCAGATTGGTATGGATTGTGGGCGAGGTTTTACCTTCCTCTGTAGCAGGGATTAGGGCCTTCTACGTGGGATCTGTCAAGCGTATATTAACAACCTTTTATAGAAGTAGGATGTTGGTCACTCTGCTTTACTTGTGGCAAGTTAGGAGGCTGTGTCAGTGTGACAGTAGTTTTACTAAGAGTTTAGATTATGGATTTGTATAGGATGGTTTGAATAGGGATGATCCTGCCTTAGATAGGACACTGGAGGTCCCTTCTAACCCAACTTCACTATGATACAATGACTTTACACTAACATAGCTAACTATGTCTCTCCATTCAAGGTAAACCAAGGAAGCCGGAAGAGAGAAGACTGCTTATTTTCAACTTTTCCTGCAACTCTATAGGCTGCATTCACTTCAGAGCGTACACAAAGGAAATTTAAAAGCTCCAAAAAAACGTGAAGGGGCACGTTCTCTCCTTTCTTTTCTACCACTATGCACTGGAATCTAGCAGGTCATCAGTCCTACTCAGAAGTTGAAGATCTGACCCTATATTACCACACAAATTAAGCTTAACTAAATAGATAAAATACAAAATTTGCCAGAAATATCATGTCCTTTGTTACAATATAACAATTTATCCAAGTGTACTCATTACCTTATATGCTTTCTAATATTCAGGCCTAAAAATTGTTCATTCTCATGAACCTACTCATGCTTCCCGGTCAGATTTTGAGAATAATTAACTTAAAGTTCAAGGTATGTTCTTGTGTACTTGTTCTCATTCCTAGATACAAACCATACAGTAAGTAATGCAAGACATAAATGATGCATGACTTTAGAGAACACTAACTGCAAAATAACCACCAGACAGTTGAACAGCCTGTTTTGCAATATGTACAGAAGAATGGACAGTCCTCAGTGGTATGTCTTGAATTTCAACACTAAAACTAATAGAAGATTTCCTGCTGACTTTACATCAACTTACAGGTGCAAAGAACTTGGTTTCTGGCAAGTGTAGGAAGAATTAATTTAGAAACCATAAGAACAGTTTTTTCTATTCCATAAACAGTTTATAACATTAATTACAATAGCATGCACACCAGATCTGGTATCATGGACTAATGCAATTAAAATACACGGAAGAAGCCAAATAGTTCTTTACAAAGCTTAAGTGACATAGATGGATCAGATAACGTAACTGGGAATTGGTCCTGTCCAAACTACTTCTGACCATTGACATGTCTCACAAAAGAAACAAATGTCCATTTTAATCAACTGAAAAGGAAGAGAAAATGTGTCCTGGTCTCACTGGAAAAAAAAGACTTTTCTTGAAGAGAAATACAGCTTCTAGCTACTGCTCCAAATAAAACTAGCACAGTTGAAGCATCGGTGACTGCTTCAGAGAGGACAGAAGAGCTATTTTATCAAAGACTTTGTTTTTGAAAATTAGCACTGAAATACATAAACTGATTTTTACATTAATCTTGCAGAAGCCCTTCACCATTTCTATCTTAAATAAAAATCCCATCCAACCACCATGTTTCTTCTCACCCCGTTTAAAAACAAAACATTATTTTCTTGGCAGAGACAAAACTGGCTGAAGTTATGAATACAAATAAAATTAGTCTTTACTGACAAGAAATAACTTTGCTTAAACTGCCTTCCTCATCACTCCAAAAAGGACATCTTTTTCCTGCTTTAACCACATAGCTAAATTTGCTGAAGGATAGTATTAATACTGAGTGGTAAACCTGTAAAACTACTAAGGGTCCCTAGAGAGCCTTAGAACAGGAGTCTTTTATTATGTCAAGTCACAACTAGTAAAAATACCAGAAGTGCATATTTTCCAAGACTGGTCAAGAAGCAACAATCATCTTACACCAAAGCTCTCATCTTAGAAGAAAGCTTCTATTGATAATGGGAGAGGTGTGTAATGGAGCAAGGGAAGAAAGGCACTTTTACTGCTCAATTGATATGAAGAGCTTTGTAGGTTATGGGCTCAAACCAAAACCCACTAAAAAGATTACTAACAACTTTATTAGCTTGTATATTAGGCCCCTATATATGTGTGCATAGTTGAGGTCCTGAATGCAATAGCCAGCTTATCAATTTTTGTTCCCAGCTAGCCTTTTGAAAATGTTTTGTATGTTTTCCCTTGAGCACAAGGATAGCAAGACTAGAAACTAAGTTGTTCTGTGAAAAGTGTTCTCCTACACGTGTTCGAGTATCTGTCTGTAATATTTTTCTCGCAATCATTCATTCCGGTATGTAACTTTAGCCTAGTTTCAACCACAGTTTCCATGAAGGCTTTTGGTGCCCTGGATCAGATATATCACATTTTAGGATAGGCATATGTAGGATCCATGGATTCTGATGGGTTCATTGTGGGTGGTTGCACATTGCTGTAGCAGTGGAGAGAGTCGGTTCATAAAAACCATCACATACACACAAAAAAAAAATCTAGCCTTTTTGTGGCAGGGATGTCGCCACAGATCAAAACCTACCTCCAAGCTGAGAGAAGAGAGGGACACAGAGACTGCAGGACGCCGCCTAGGATTAAAGGTGCAGCAGGGAAGAGGCCGCCACAGGAAGGCAAGCCGCACCAAAACTGGAGGGAGGAGAACAGAAGTGGCCACAGAGTGCCACAGGACAGCCAGTGCATTTGGATGCACTGATGTGGCCATGCTTTATGGCTGCATGTTAATGCTGGTTTTCCAGCGGCCCTTGGAGAGGGGAATAAAAAACCCCACCAGCCGGACATTCCAGAAGGACTGGACATGAGTCCTCCAGAGGGCCTGGAACAGCCGTGAATGAATGACTGCCCTGGCAGGGGTGAGCAGTGGCAACCCCAGGAGCAGGAATGCCTTGCTGAAGCTGTCTCGGTGGCACCTGAATCCTTTCCTTGCATGAGACTGTGGATCCTGGATACAGCTGGTACAGACTGGGACAACGGTGGATCCATGAGAAGAGAAAGAAGGAAGGAGTCTGAAACTGTAAGTAACCATTGGGAGGAAAAGGGAGAGCACCTGGGAGTAAGGCATCCTGGGGCAAATAGTAAGGCAAACCAGGTTGACATAAAGCCTGAACTAGGACGGTACACCATCTGAGCAGGACTGTGATAAGGTAAGGGCTAAGGTCCCTACTGTGGCTGGCAGACTTTGTCTTAGCCTTGGTCAAGAAGCAACATCTTTGGTTGGTGTAAGGCGGGGTGTAGGGGAGGTGGAGCCCTGAAATGGAAGTCCAGGCAAGAGAGCTGAAAGAAGGGACCAGGACAGGCAGGATTCAAGAACATCCTCCCAGCAATAGCTAGTAACAACAAGACGTGGCACGCGAGAATCCCTGCCGACCTTTCAACGTATCTTACTGGAAGGCAAGCAGTTGACTGGAAAGGAGGCAGCTGCATCCAAATGGCCAGAAAGGGCGAAGTGCTTGAGTGAATGTCATGTGTGGTTAACCCTTCTCTTTGATCTTGAAGAACTGTACTTCAATAAATAACCTTTAGTACCATTTACAACTTCCTCAAAGTTATGCAAGTACTGCACTGTAATTTATATCAGAATGTACAAAGAACAGATTTTGGGACAAGTGTTAATACTGATCATCACTGCTTAACAGTACAACCTTAATGACAGAATAAGGATATGTAGGAATTAAAATATCTAGGGTCTCTAAAAGCCATTCTTTTACACAGAATTAATAAGGTAAATCTTACACTGAATTGGAACTCTAAATCTTATAAAGAATAAGAGAAATGGAATATTGTCCGGGCATTTCTCACGTAGAAGGAAAGACACTGGTTACCCAAGATCAGTCTGTCTTTTCTAACTGTCTTCAAGACCAAAGGCTGAGGATTTAGGGCATAGAGGGAAACAGAAGACTTTGCACTACAAGGTTTTAAATTGCTAGAATCCTGATTCAACTTGATAATGAAACAAACTTTAACAAGCCTTCTTGAAGCAACTAAGCACTGTTTGAGTGTTAAATCTGTATTCTCCGAGTTTTATCCTGGGACTTCAGTGACTAACTATAATGCTGTGGTTTAGAGAGAAAAGGAACAAGTCTATCATAATGCTGGTGGCTCAAGGTTGTGATTACATAAATATCCTGAATCTCTCATTGAAGGAAGATGTTGCCTAAATTTGCAGTAGCAATAACTTAAAAAAAAAATCCTGAAAGTTTAGCACTTGACATAATGTTTTCCATTATGAGAATGATCTATACTTACTCAATATTTTTGGTACAATAACAAGTAATCTCTTCTCTTGTATTTATTTACATCAAATTAATATTTTTCAAACTTGTCCGACAAATACATTTTTAAAAATAAAAGATCAGCTAACTTTCCATATCATAACAAGCAACAGTGATTTCACTATCTACACTTCATGATTTTCCCTACTGAAAAAGTGATATTTTCATCTAAAAAAATTAAACTTCAATTGTCATATTTCATGAAACCAAATAACCTTTAAACTTCAATTCCTATTGAGCTCAATACTACTAAAAAGACCTAAAATGCACAAGTTTTACAAAATTCAGTGTCCAAAAAACCCTATTTTAGCTTTAAATACCCCTCCCCCCAAACTTATAAGAAAAAAGTAGTTATTTGTTTGGCTGTAGGAAGACAGTCAAACATTGAGCAACATAAAATTGAATTCATGCTGAACTATAAAAGTAGTTACATTTTCTTCAATGTGCCTGGACTTGGTTGCTGAAAATATCCAAAACTTTTTGTTAGTGGGTTCATTAAGTTTGATATCATACCTCACAGGTTTCCCGTCTCGTAGCAAATCTTCCAAACTCTTTTCACAGTGTTCAGCTGCCACCACCAGCCTCTCTGATTAAAAGAATATACCAAAAGCAAATTTACAAATCCAGACACATGGCTTTACCCCAAATATTTTAACAGCCACCTTATTTAAACTATTATACAGCATCTTAGCATACACCAGATATACAGATATGTTATTAAATAAATACTTCCTCAGAATGATTACAAATTAAATACACAATGCAAGGAAAAAATATTTTTTTCCCTGTAGGTCACATTTCCTGCCCTACCCACCAAATATTCACATATTAAATTTAAGGTACCAAGAATTTGCCATCATCTCAATTGCTAAACAGTTCTTGAGAACTAAGAGCACCACTTATATTGGGATGGCTGTATAGTGAATTTTCTGATACCTTACCTTCCAACAGTATGAGAAGAGGAGAAAAGTATCTTTCCAGAGTTCACTGAACTTTACTACCTTCACTTCTAGATTTAGTTTGCAGATTTTTCTTCCTACAAACATTAGCTACTATATCCAGAAACTTTTTGACCATGGAGTGCTTTACCATTGCTTTAAGTATTACAATGTCAGTTTCACTACCATATTATTTTAGTAAGCTACTGCCAGTTTAAACTTGGAAGCATTTATTTACCTCTTAGTCTACTAGTATCTTCATTAAGAAGTACAATATCTTCATTTTTCTCTGCCTTGATGATCAACAGATTTGATAACTGTATCCTGAAAACGTTTATATCTAACGTGTGAGCGAAAATACTTTATGCCACTGATTCCAAAATAGTCAGTAAAGTTCATGATGCTATATACAATTACACTTGATCTAGAGGCCAAGAAGCGTAGTGATCCGGACACCACCACTGCTGGTTTACATTCAACAATCTCTCTTTCAAAGTGGAAGGGTTAGGCTGGAGGGCAGAATTTACCAACTATTACCTTTTGGCAGATTCTGTAATTAGCTAGGCAGTTACAGCTTATATAAGCTTTTATAAAAGGGTGAATGTTGTTAGTGCTGTCTTTAAAAACTACCAATCCAAGGCACAGAGGGTATTTTGTGCCAACTGTCCACTCTGTTCCTTTTGAGCTCCCAAGGAAATAAGATCATCTTGAATCACTTCCGAATAGAAAACAGCTGAATCCCGATTTGTGAGCTAGCTTTGCATGTGAAAACAGTTAATGGACATATAAATAACATTTTGAGTGATGAGATGAGAGCTGTATTCTGCACAGCATGAACTAAAAATATGAGGTAAATTTGATGCCAAAACATGAACTGGTCTAAGCAAACAAACAAGAAACATTGATCAGAACAGTTTACCACAGCTCTGAAAAGCATGCTGGATTTTCTAGGAAAAGCTGCAATTAGATGCTCATAAGTTTTAGGAAAGTGGAGTTATGCTAGGTGTTTATTTACTCAGACACTAACCTATCAATGACAGCATACCATACATCATAACCGTGGTGCCCACTAGGGCTGTGCGAAGCTTTGGTTGCTGATTTGATTTGGAGGAGATTCAGCAGTTGAATCTCCGAATTGAAATAGCCAGTAAAAGGACTAAAAATCGGGAGACCAGTAAAAACTCCAAATCAATCCAAAGCCTCTGAATTAATTCGGAAAAGATTCGGAGGCGATTTGGAGACTCGGGCAGTCCCCACTCGCCACCGCAGGGAGCTGGACCCAGATTCCGTGATTATAAGTCGGGGGGGGGACCTCCGTGAGGCCCCATCCGCTCCCCCCCCCCGCGACTGCTCTCCCAGCCCTGCCTGGCCCCAGTGTCCCAGCACTTTAAAAAAAAAAGGGCCACTCACTGGCTGTAGCAGAGGCTGTTACAGCCTATGGGGGCTTGTGGCAGAGCCCTCCACGCAGCATGGGACAGTAGGGGGCAGCAGGGATTCCCCCCCCCCACACTTGGCAGGAGCTGGTGAGTGTGAGGATTTTTTATTTATTTAAAGCGCTGGGATGCTGGACCTGGGTGGGGCAGCCATTGACGGGGCTGGGAGAGTGGGTAGGGAATGGGACCTATTCGAGTCAGAGATTCTGCTGATTCGGTGGCGGCCAAATCACCTAATCAGATTTGGCCAAATCAATTTGGGACAGTGATTTGAATCCCTGAATCGAATAACTGTCCCCCGAAAAAAAAATAAATAAAAAAAATGGCAGAATCCGAATCCAAAGCGAGTACTAGCCATTTTGCACAGGCCTAGTGCCCACCCTCCAACCTAGAAGCTGAATCTGGCCCACAGAGCCAGGTTACCAACAATGGGGTTCCTCACAGGTCTGGAAACTTGGTGGCAGGGATGGTGGAGCAGCATCAATTGTCACAGCTTCCAGAGACAATTAACACTGCTACCACTCTCCTGCCAAATTTCCAGACGACACTGTCTCATGTGCTGGATCGTGCTAGTTCACAAGGTCACTCTATGGCCGTATCCAGTGCATGGCAATGAGTTGACATGTGGGATTGCTCCAGAGCTAGGTCCAGTGCACGGGGCCAGGCTGGTGTACCTAATCATACCTATGGATTGACCCCATTCTGAATCCAGCTCACAGACAGATCTCACAGGCTGGGGTCAGCCTCATACCACTCATCTGGCCCACAGAGTCAGAAGGTTGAGCAGCACTGCATTATGATGATATTGCTTATGAGGAGGGAAAGAATAACTGCAATTACAGACGGGTGAATGTAAAAAAAGTAAAACCTTGTCCAGTCCTGGAAACAGCTTTGGAATTACTCTGCCAAGAGCAACTTCTACGAATCTTTCCCACCAGATTGGGAAATCGTTTTGGTAACTTTGGCTGCCTGTAGACGAACATGGAGGCTGCTCTGACACACTGCAATTACAGCACATCAGAGCAGACTCGATTAACCGAAATAGCCAGTAAAAGGATTAATCGAGTCTGCTGGAGTGTTGCAATTACTGTGCTCCAGTAGTCCCTTACATTTCATGTACCAGCATCTCTGCACTTAAAAATTGTGGTGGGAGCACTTGAACTAAAGCTCATTAAATGCCCAATTGCCCCCTGCTGTCATTTTAAAGCACAGGGATGCCAATACATGAGATGCTGAGGTGCTTTAATTAGAACAGCTCTCCGAGCCGCTCCAGTTAAAGAGCACCTCCATCCCCAGAGCAAATGTAAAAGTGTCTTGTATGTAGCACCACACAACTGTTCATCATGTAGTACTAATCAGCAGGGATCTGGGGTTTCCCATTTTGCATGTGGGGGGGCGAGAGGGAAAAAAAAAAAAATCAAGATTTTCCCCTTTGAAGTGGGAAACTGCACATTCCCCCTTGAAGGCTGGCTGTTCCAGGCTGCAAGGAATGTGACTGGAGGCAGGGGACGCCACATGTGTGTGCATGCATACACGCATGGCCAGCAATACAGCCAGACAGGGTGGTTGGAGCAGGCCCAGTGGCTGAATAAAAGTAAGTAAGTACATGGGACAGGGGGAGGCAGGGAGCCAGGGCTTGGGGACCATCCAAGCAGGCCAACTGGCAATGCATTGGAGGGGTATGGGGGCAAAGGGCACGTGTGCCTCATGATTTTTGCACAGACAGTGGGGCAGAAGGCTTCAGCCTGGCTGGGCCGGCACTGGGCAGGAGCTGCCTCTGCGGCCCAGTGGGCAAGACATGGTACAGGAGGGTGGGCTGGGGCAAGAAAACTCAGTGCTGTTGCCACTGCTGCTAGAAGCCCCATGCCAGCCATGCCAAGGTAAGGTGCCCCCTGTCCGCCTGGCAGCAGCGGGGCAGGGAATGACACACAACTCCATGCCACTGCCATCCCTGCTGCAACCAGGTGGGCATGCGGAGCCTTGCCATAGCCATGTGGCTGCTATGAGGCTCCCAGCAGTGGCAGTAACACTAAGTCTCCCCACCCTGCGGAGGCCCCCAGGGGGGAGGGCAGCAGGTTGGGGAGGTCTAAGTCCTACAGCAAGCAGCCCACATGCTTCTCCCCTCCCTGCCAGGGTCTGCTCTGGCCCTATTGCTCATGGGAAGGGGCCCAGGCTCCATGCTCCTCCCTCTGCTCTGGCTGCAGCAGCCACCGCTTCCTGTACACAGCAGCCAGGACTTGGACATTGCTAGCAGCTGTAGCTGGTACCTGTGGCGCCTGGAGCAGGCACAATGCAGCTGCTGCGTCTCATAGCCCTAACAGCTGCCCCACCACAGTACAGCTGGAGGTAGCAGGGACAGCACACTGCCATATCAGGGCTGCTCAGTGCCACAAATCAGGAAGGGGAACAGCCACAGCTGGACCTGCATCCTGGGGAACGAAGGGGGTAAGGAAAGTGCTAATTTTCCATGGTAACACACACCAAAATCAAATGCCAAAATATATAGGTATTTAGAATTTATTTTATTATGACTGAGGCATTGGAAAGGCTTTCAAATGGTAAATATATCAATAATACATTGTGTTCAACTGATACACACACAAGTGACGTTTCATTTTAATGATGGTAAAACATGGATTTTGGAGGTTTTAATCAGATAATTTGGGGGGGGGTTTAAATCAGGGGGAAAAAAAAAAAAATCAGGATCCCCGCTAATCAGGTTGTCCTATGGCTGCATAAGGAAGTATAAGAACATTTTAAAGTTAATTTTATGTTTATTTGAATACTAAGACAATATTGTTCTTAAAATCCTATTTGCAAATCTGGATTAAAGGCACATTGTTAAAATGTAGTTGTGCACCAAACTTTCTATACCAACAAGAAGTTAAACACACACTCCACAAAAAATCCCAGTGGGTAATATTGTAAACTCTACTAGTTTGACAAAAATCCTAATACAAGATTGGATTATAGGTAAGGGTGTAATCAATTTGCAATTCCATGGATTTTGCAGAATTGCAAAATCCGGGGTTGTCCACAAAAATCAACTGAAAAAAACCCAAAACAAAACACAAAATGTAATAAAAATATATTGTGGGAGCCAGTGGTCTTCACTGCTGCTGCAGCCCTCCACACGAGGCTGGCGAGGCACTAGCTGGCAGGGCAGGACAAACAGGAGAAGACAAGATGGCAACTGTGCTCGCATCCCTGTTCCCCCTTCGGAGGCCTCTTTGCCAATCAGTGCCAAGGGGCAGGGAATATCTGCCGAATATGCTATTTATATGTTGCAACCAACCTGCAAAAATTGTTTAGTTTATTTGTGATTTAAGTATACCCCTTGTAGGTTCTTAAGAGTAAAACTGTATTGAGGAACAGCTTGGTGATTCTAAGGATCTATTTATTAAACAAATTAAGTTTCTAACTATGTCAACTGTCAAATAAAATACTCGTCTTCAGGGAATAGAAACAGAGAATCTTTTTTAAAAAAAACCATAATTTGCTACTTAAAACAATTTCCACCAAAGCTTGTTAGATCCAACTATTAGAACAAGAAACAGGCAAGGATTGTATTTAAGCTGACAACCTGAACCAGATGGAAAGAATACCAATGGATGTTACATTGCAAACATTAAGCAGCTAGTATCAGAATACTGAGTAGTACATCTTGAGTACATTCACACAGCCAAAGTGGGTAAGCACATAGGGAAGGAACAGTTCAAGAACCAGACAACAGTGGAAAACAGAGAGAAGCACCAAATACATGAGCACACTATGGAAAAAGCCACCCATTTTAAACCACCCTCATCTGGATATACCTTATTCAATGAGTCATGGGAAAACACAGACAACAATATGCTTAGCCCTTTGAAAAATGCTTTATCCATTGGTTTTGTCCTTGAAGAAGTGACAGAAACAATCATTTCTCAGATGATCATTTAACAAATGGTTTCTAATTTATACTGGCAAAAAATATTTAAATAAATAATCATTGCCCAAATTAAGTAAACAAACATAAATATTTTAAAAGCTGTGTAGTAAGTGAACAATGCAGTAGTTTACAATGAATCATCTTGTAAACAAAAGTAAAGTATTTCTAGTTTGCATTTCAAGGATTAACATGAACTTCATAAATTAGTTGACTGAAGTTGAAGATTAAGAAGAGAGTTTTAGGATGGCCTTTAGTCAAAAACATTTCTGTATATTGCAGAAGACCAAAAAAAAAAAAAGGCTTAAAATAGAACGGAGGGAGGGGAGAGATCAATTAACGAATCACAGACACCTCCAAGACAAGTGAACAACAAGAAACTTACAGAATTCATGAAAGAATCTGTGGAACTGTAAATAGGAAATAAAAGAGGAACGATCCAAGGCATGATAGTATGACAATAATTAAATTAAAGATGCATAGCCAAACCATCTACATGTGCTTTGTATGTAGGCACCAGAAAGTTGGGGTAAGGATTGGTGGGGTGGTGAGGGTAAAGGAGGGGACTAGAAAAAACACTGATGCAGTTTGTCAGAACAGAAATGCATTAATACTTTAAGAAGAACAGCAACGAAAAAGCAATTCATGTTTTTTGATGCACGCCAAAAGGGCAAAATTTGATGAGAATAATTGTCTTCAAAGTTCTAAACAAAACCAATGTAAGATACCTAGATGGGTGCGCACAAAATTTCCATGGAACTCACCATGTTTTCCTCTAGTAATGTCCACATACTGACAAAGTCTGGGATGAATGATTGTCTTAAGAATTTGGAAGCGCCCCAAAATTTTGATGGAGTTGGGTGTCAAAGGAAGACCATTGCTTCCGCAAATGTCATGTGGGAGAGCTGAGGCAAAGAAGGTGGAAGCACCCATCTCAGCATCCTTCAAGGGGAACATTTTTTGTTCTTTCTTTAAATCCTTCCAAGCAAGTATGTTCCTGAGGGGGCAGAAAAACAATGCATGTTAAAAACCTACGTACAGCAGACATTTGCTATGATTAACAGCTTATGGATATTACCAAGATAGGAAGCACATGATAAAAAACAATAAAAGTATTTACTGGGAAAACAGAAGCAACATCACAATTCTGCAACCCCGGTGGAGGGGGCGGCGGGGGGGGGGTGTCACACAGGCAGTGGGGAAAGCTAGGTAGCTGTAAGCAGTGCTCAGAAGTTCCAAAGAACTTTAGACTTATAGTGAAGACCAGGTCACTGTCAAAGTCAGTCAGCAGGATTTTAAAGAAAAAGGAGAAATTTATTTCTAATCCCCTGCATGCAAGAATCCCACAATTAAGATTTTCAGAAGTTCAAAATACTGTTTGTGGAACTTTCTTAGTTATTTGTGCTCCCCACAAATGACAAGACTTCCTCTACTGTCATGCTGTCTTGACAGATTACAGAGAAATGAGTGGAAAGAAAAAGAAAGAGTAAGGAGACTTTTTTGCTTTGCCTCAGGGTGGACAGTGGGGAAGCTGCACAGGGCCCAATCCTTGTTCTGGAAGTACAGTCCCAGCCCCTTTCTCACCATCCACCTCAAGGCATGTGTGCACCTGCTACCAGCAATGAGCTGGGCTGAGGTTCTGCAGACCCTGGAGCAGCCCAGGATCTGTAGTGGGCAGCAGAGGCCTGCCCAGAGCCTGAGCCAGCTGTGGCGGGCAGCCAGGAGGATGAAAGCAGCTGCACTGGGGTCTGTGGCGCCCCAGCCTGGCTTGTTGCTGGTGGTGGGTGCACGCATGCCTCAAAGCAGACTGCAGAGCAGGGTCTGGGGTTGCAGTACTACAACAGGGATTGGGCTCTTGGAACACCGAAATCTTACAAGTCGAGGCTGTGGGTGTTTTTGGCACTCAGGCCAGAGGTCGGCAATATTTTTGGGCAAAGTCAATGTACTTAATACATTATAGAGGAGAACACTTACAAGTTGCTCTGCAGCAAGTCTACAGGCAACAAGCAGTACTAATGGTCCTCCGGTTCCACTAACTCCAGCCCAAAAGTCACTGTGACGTAAGCCCTTCAGGAAGATGTGCATAAAACCAGTAAGAAATATGAATCTCAGGCCCTTCAATGAAACAGCAGCAGCTATATGCTCTGAGAAGTGGAAACAACACAGATGCTCAAAAAAAAGGACAGGGAACAAACACAGAAACAGCAAAGGAACCCTCAGGATCTGAACCCAGGGGAGACTGATGTAAAGGGAGGTATTTAAACATATTTTGCATTTTAACTGCCACTGTAATCTCAGCCCCTTGAGGATTCTCCATTACCCCAAGAGCTGCATGAAACAAAGGAGGCTCAGAGCAATGCAGAATCTGAAGCCACAGGGACTTCATACTGCCCTGCAACTTTTCTCAATGAGGAATGCAATACCTGAAAAAAATAAGGCATATTACAATTTTTAAAAAAGAAATATAATCACATGGCTAGGATTTTTTGAAGACGTGCAACCTTGTTCACAGCAAAAGATTATCAGCATGGTCTTCCTATCTTCCCTTGGTGAATTCCTCACTTTGATTAAAGTTGTATTCCCAACAGTAGGTTCCAACTGAAATCTCAAGGTGTCCTTCTACACTGAAGTAAGGATGGACGCACGTCAGCTCTGAACATGTGCTTTCAATTTTTTTGGATATGTAGGTTGTGCTAAACTAATGATGGCTAAATCAACACACTTAAACCTGATGTTTGAACAAAAAAAGTTTTCTATTGAAGTTTAGTTTACTTTCTGGAAGTTCTGAATTGAGACTGAAGAAAAATATTAGATATGTGGCCATTTTCATTTAATTACAAATAAAGTCACAACACGTAGCAGATAGAAGCCTAAAGTACAAACATGTGACAAAATTAAGTATTTGTTCTGCTATAAAATGTATGTGTTAAAACTGACTTCTTCAAAACTAATCAGATACATATTGCAGGCTCTTAAGTTGCTATCTTAAGAAAATAAATAGGAAACAGCACAAAATGGGATTTTCAGGGGAATAGAGGGAGGGGGCAAAAGCTACAGAGGGGAAGTGGAGGGAGGTGGGTGCAGCAGGCTTCTGCTGCAAGTCTGACTCTGGCCCTCAGCCCCAGTCTGGGCCAGTCAGAGCCATGGTATCCACCTGCTTCCCCCTTGTACTTCATATGCAAATAAGACAAGGGGTTTTTTCTCTCTTATGCTAATACAGGAAGAAAACCTCATCTTATATTCAAGTAAATACGCAATCACAATGCTCCCTTCTGGTCACATAATCAAAAAATCCAATCAATTTTGTCTTTGCTGTAGTGGAAAGCTATAGCAAGACCAGGCAGAGCTCAACATGCAACTAGCTGGGAAATGGCAAGAGCTGAACTGCTGTTCTGCACCTTCTCTGCAACCTGGTTCAAATCCCAGAACAGGAGTCCAAAGTAGAAGAGGGACTGAGCTTTGCAGCAAAACATTCTACTCATCCCTTTTATATCTGTCTGCTTACTACTTTGCTCTCTGGCTTCTAGTTTTGGCAAGGTACTTTGAACCCTACACTAACCAAAGTATCCACATTAGTTTCTACTCTTGCACCCTACCCACCATCACAGACTGTTGACTTGCCAGTTGATACCTGAAAACTAACTCAATTAGATACACACATTAATAAGTAGTTTGTTGAAGAATATATAACCAATGGACACCCTTCCCATATGCAGTGTACTGGGGAACCAGAAGTTGAATGGGTTATGAAGAGTTAGCCCCATAATAGCTGGCATTTACATTTGTAGCCTATGAAGCAGATACATGGTGCACAAGCAGGAAAATTTGAGGTAACTAATCCCACCAGTGAAAGTAATCAATTCACCTATGTCCCCATCCCAGTAGAAAGAGAGAACATAAGCATGTAGGCCCAAATTGTCCAAGGATATTTAGGACTTAATAAGAGTTAGGCACCAAATTCCCATTTCTTGTTTAAAGCAGGGAAAATTCCCATTCCAAGTAAGCCTAAATCAATTCTGCTGTTAAAATAATAGCTAAGAAACAGTTCCAAGAACAACTGAACATCATGCCCTTATGTAAAAGACTGCATGTCATGGTTGAAACAGATTTACAGTATGCCCTATTTTAATAAAAGCTGCTTAATGAAAACTTCAACCCTTGAGTCAGAAACCTATAAACATTCAGACTGCAACTACAGCAATTATTAATTTGGAAAATTATTGTAGTGAAAGGATACATTTTTAGCTGTGGTTAATACAATGCAGCAGCTGGAAGCAGGCAAGAAAAACCAACATCACATGACCAGCTAGCTTTCCATGGACCACCAACCCTCAGTTTGGGAAGCTCTCATTTAAAACAAGTGTTCATAATAAAAATATGGTTAACAGACAGGCTGAATTTCACTCAATTTCAATACCTTACCAAACAAGTATAAAAGATACAGAAAAGCCTGTTCAGACAAAAAAAGAGCAGTAAAATGGCTTTAATTGTTTAAGGTAGAGGTACATTCATATTAAACTACTACCTTACGTTTTTTGGAAGATGAAACTTAAATTTAACTCATTTACATGGAGTGTAAAATTATAGCATAAACCTCAACTGAAACAATATTGCCTTGCTAAACAGTTCTCACCAAGAGTTTCAGAAATCACGATGTAAACAGCATTTGAAACTCTAACCCAGGACTTCCTACTGTAAAAGTTTTCCTGGAGAATGAAAATGTGATCAATATTTAACTGTGGTCAAACAGTTATTTTCTCTTCTCTGAAGTTTTCTGGCTACCCAGATCTTCAACATGAAAAGCAGTCCCGTTACAAATAAAGAACAGCTAGCAATGTAGCAGGGAATGGAGAGGAACAGATTATAACTAGTTGTCAACAAATATTTTCAGCAGACTGAAACAAAAATAATCGTTACATATCAATAGCAATAACCTTATTGTACAAGGAAAACACCATATTTGCTATATCCTCAGAAAACAGGTTCAGCAAACAAGCAAAAGAAGTTTTGCACCTTACCGTGAACTGTGCGCACCACTTCTTTTAACATTCGGTTATGCTATTTCTGCAACAAACAGGACAATGTTGCAATTTTCCATAGTTACCTTGAATTTCACATACAACACATTACTCCCATTTTCTGAACTCTATTTTTCAAAATTAGATGTTGACAAGTGTCAAATGTAATTTATTAGGTGCTTACTGAAAAGCAAAGCTGAATAGTGTAGCCACATACTAAATCATCACTGGTGACGGCAGGATAACCCAACAGTTAGGCCACAGCTAACATAGAAATGAGCGGAGGAGGAGACCTGTAAATCACAGGGTAGTAATAAAACAATCTCCCCCCAGCCCCCACCAATAAGCACCCATTATTTTCACTGTGGAGAACTTCCTTCATGTATAAAACAGGCACCATCAAAAAGTAGTACGGATTCCACCGCTCTTCAGACTTGCTTAAAGTGGAAGGAAGCGGAGAGGAGAGAGAGAAAGCAAGCAAGCACACAATCAGAAATTTTATAACCTTGTTGCCTGCATTCTGCCATTAGGCAATGAAGTAGCCTTCCCAGAACAGTAAGCTGTTAACAGCTTCTTTTGGAATGGACACACACAGGACTGAGATGTTTTGGTTACTGTCTTTAGAAAAAGACATTTTCATATTTCAGACTACATTTATTATTTGTGGACACTCCTTACACTAACATCAATTAAAGCCATCCCAATTTGTTAAAAAAAAAATATTTCAAATCTGTTAATAAAACATTAAAACAATCGTATTTAGATATGGCATGCAACTACACAGTTATGTCTCTTTCTTTTTTATGTGACTCATGTTTGTGTTTTCCTCTCCTGGTCCTCTTGTTCACTACTTATTTTCTTTTCACTACAGCAGAAACAACTGTTTTGCTGGCCCCAGACAGCTCTAGAGTTGAGTGCCTTATTTTTGTTACCCCCTCCAGTTTAGACATCATCTACAAATACCCAGGGATCAAAAAGACATGATGCAATCTCAGAAGCTAAAGGGGAGGGAAGGGAGTGGGGAAGAGAGACTTTTTTTATTTTGTTTCTTAAAGTGCTGCTGGCAAGTCTGCAAGTCTCAGGCTGGATTTGATACTGACCAGGAAACCATTAGCCAGAAGCAAAGAGGAAACACTAGCTTAGGCACAAAAGCAAGGCCCAGAGACAATCAGTCAGTTTCAGCCCAAGTGGAAAAACAGAAGACATCATACTGGGGTGGTCCAATTACATCCTAAACAGGGCTTCCACCTCTGTTTAGTTGCAAGATAAATTTTCCCCTCATTCCAGGTTGCTGGAAGAGAGCTTTGTCCATCCCTCTATTCCCCACCCCCCAGCAAAAATAACACTCTCTTGATGGAGTAGTGAAAAGCTTGGGGAACAGCAGTGATTTGGGGGGCTATCCTCATTCACAGATAGCTGCACTGCTTCTGCAGTCCACTAGGACCCTGAAGCAGAAGGAATGCGCAGCTTCTCAGGTTCCCAGCTTTTTCCACAATTCTCCAGAGAAGCATCAGGGAAAATGAACACACATCACCTGCCACCTTCTCCTGCATCTACTTGACAAAACTACTAACAGCAACAAGGTCACACTCAGGATCTCTGTCTGCAGTTGGGAAAGTATCACTTTGCCCATTTACAACCACTTCTTAGTGCAGTGGCAACCAATCTTTTTGACAGGTGTGTCACAAGCTCACCCCACACTTTCCCCAAGTGCCGCTGATCATTCTCCTGTACCTGATCTGCTGCTTGGCTTCCTGCTCCCTGCCTGATTTGCTTTCTGCTTCTTCCCCTACTGATCTGCTGCCCCTTTTTTCTTGTGCTGTGTGCTGGCTTCCTGCTCCCACAGCTGCGGGACAGGGCATGGGGAGTGGAGCCTCAGGCTGGGGGGCAGTGTGGAACCACCTCAC